TGAAATATGGAGAAAGATGAACGGTAAAACCAGATCTGGGTACAAATGCCAGTTATGGCCCTGTCTAGCGGGGGGCCTTGGGGCAAGCCCGGACCTTCCGTAAGCCCTGACTCACATCTCTACGACAAAGACAACACCACCAACCTTGTATTAAAGGTGATCAGTAATCGAGGTGCTCAATCAGGATCTGGCACACACACACAGCGGGCACCCGGAAACAGGTCATTCCTGCCTCACATTCCTGACTCAATCTGCTTTCATGACTAAAGGTGAACACAGGTAGAAGGCCCAGAACTCTGGCTGGGCAGGCAGAGAGGCACTAAATAAAAGGCTGTCATGCCCCCTTCTCTGTTCCTCTCCTCTTCAGACGGCATCACTTCAGGCCTCATCTTTCTCACCGAGATCACCACCCCGGCATCTGAATCTGGTCTCCATGCTTGTAACCACATACCAACCCGTTACATCTGGTCTGAGGCACCAGCCCAATGAATCACATCACATGACCGTCCCCCCGACCACGTAACATGCGCGCTCCTCGGCAAGAACACAAGGTCCTTCCCAAACTTTCCAGCCTTAACTCTTAGGGCGCCCCCCCCCAACCTGCCCATCCATATTCTCATGCCCACGCCCTACACAGTCCATCTGCTGCTTCCCAGCTGCTCCTCGCTCTCATGCCACCAAGCCTACCCAGAATGTTCTGGGGGCCTACTCATTCTTCAAGACGCAGCTCAAGCGTCCTCTCCCCTTCAGAGATCTCCTTAACCCTCTCACTTTCTTCAGTTCCAGAGGCCTCTCTGCCCCCTTCCCAGCACCTCACAAAACATATTCTAATGTTGCTCCTGCCCAACTGTGAAATCCTGGAAGGGAGGGAATAGGCCGTAGCATGTCAGTATGACGCCCAGCGCCACGGGGCGGTATCTATGCTCAAAACATGTGTGATGGTTTTTGTGCTATAACCTTCATACGGCTCTCGTGACTCACGGCATTCTGGAAAATAGAAGTGTCACTACCAACGTAGTGGAATCTCCGTATTTATGTGTATTTATAAAACCTAAAGAAAATTTCGAACACGCGGATATCTGTGAGTATGTTCTCACTTTCGGTAGATTTGTGGGTGTTTTTTTTTAAAATTCTAGCAGAAGCAGTGTTACCACTGGCAAAATATTAAGATGTCCTTCTTACAAAGGTATGCTTAAGCTTAGCTGAGTAGAACACAGCAGAATAATCGTACTGGCTAGGCGTGATTTTTCTTTTAAAAAATGAATTTAAAAAAAAATCATTTCCTGTTTTCAAATGACTCCCAACTTTTCCAAAATGGAACGTTGTGCAAACTGACCTCTACCAATCATCGCCAGGACTGACTTTATATTCCATATAACCCATAACTGTTAGCTGCGAAACCGCTAGACATGTACTTGCTAAATAATATAGCAATCCCAAATATCAGTCTGAATAAAGCGTTTTGAACACACTTGTTTAAAATCTAGCCCATCCACCCATTAGGCAACGGAAACAGATAAACTGTAGCATTTGGTATAAAAGAAAGAACACTACTTCAACTCTTTTTAAAAAAACAAAAAGGGTACAACATGTGATTTTTGTTTCTTAAATCCCAAATATAACTCACTGTCTTGAGAACCTCCTGTACTTTCCTGTATATTAAATAATTGCACACCGAGTTAAAAAAAACAAAAGTCAAAGAAAACATGCCTGCCACCCACCCTTTTCCTGAGAAACAGACATGGTAAACACGTATAGAACACCTCGCAAAGGTCAGTGTGATGAGCCCCAAAGGAAGCTACTTTTTTAAATTAATTTAAAGAATGTGTTTGCGGATTTAAAGGATTTAGGGAGCAAGGGAGCGAGGAAGAGAGAATTGCGTAATTATTGGTTTTGGTAAAAAAAAGATAGGTTAGTGGCGATCAAATCCTGCTCCGGGGACCACACACGTGCCTCAGCGGCCATGGACTCCCAACCCCCCACATTAACTAGGGAAGCTCCCCGTTTTGTTTTTTTGTCTGTTTATGCACCAAACTTCTGAAAACATTATTTGAACAAAAGTGTCCGTGACTTTAAAAAAAGTCTGAACATCACTAAGAAAGACTAACCAACATTAAGTGGGTGATACGGACATTAACACCCAATAAAACAATAAACAGAAGCATTCAATATGAAAAAAAAAGGGTTTCAGAAAGTGGTAAAACATTAAGAAGCAGGAAAGACTGATATCTGTAGTTGCTTTATCGTGATGCATAAATGTTTCTTTTCCCCTGGGCAGCCCTCAGGGCATCACTTCCTCAAAGCCTCTCCCAACCACCCGCCAGCCCGGGTAGGCCCTCCCCTGTGGGGCACTCACACGGCTGCTCGAACCGTGTCTCCCTCTCATCCCACCTGGACTTGCTTGGTTTTTAACTGATCCCCTCACTGGGAGCTGCGTGGCTTCAGTGACCTCTAGCCCAGCTCTGTGAATGGCATCTTCATTCCCCAGTTGCCCAAGCCTGAAGCCCACTGTCTCACCCTCACCTCCACATCCGCTAGTTGTTAAGACTCCTCCGTCTGCCCTAGCTGTTTTGGCTCAGTGGATATAGAGCATCAGCCTGCGGAGTGAAGGGTCCCGGGTTCGATTCCGGTCAAGGGCCCATGCCAGGGCTGTGGGCTTGATCCCCTGTAGGTGCATGGACGAGGCAGCCGATCAATGATTCTCTCTCATCATTGATGTTTCTATCTCTCTCTCCCTCTCCCTTCCTCACTGAAATCAATACAAGTATTTTTTTAAAAAAATCAGAAATTAGCGTTTATCTACAGTAATTTATGAAACACCTGGGACCCCTCAGTCCACAGGCCGACGCTCAACTGGTTTCGGCTGTCTACAGTAATTTATGAAACGTCATTTTCTAAATAGATCAGACTATGACAAACACCCACCATACGCATTGTTTTCTCTGATGCAAAAGCTATAAATACAAAAGTCTCTTTGCCAATAACTTGTGCCATGATGCAAGGAGATGACAGGATGGACCAACTTCTTCACCTTCTCCTCTCTCTGTTCCCTCAGTCCACAGTATTACAGGTTGAGGTGGTGACAGAGCAGAGAATAGCAGCTCAAAATAATCTAAGAAGAACCTAGCACATTTTTTGCCTTTTCAAAATGCTTGTGTAGCCAGTAACATGATGGGTGATTTTCCCATTTGCCAAACACTCTATAATGCGGAAATTACAGAGAATGTAATTGAGTCTCTCCCCATGAAGACTCATTAATTTCAAAATATCAAGAGCAGGAGAAAAAAAAACATTAATTAGCGCTTGCATTTTGAAAGCGAACTGTATTACTACATACTGATAAAAACAATTCTTCTCATTTGGTTCAAAAAAAAAAAAAATACCAAACCCGATGACTAAACAACAATTTTAACTACTTTAAATTAGCAACGTTTAGCTCCTAATAGTAGTAAATACTCTTTTTGAAGGTTTAGAAATTAAAATGCTAGTTTGTTCCAAACATGGGGAAGCCTGTATGATTGTATGGATGACAGTTTAGGCAGTCATCCTTTAGTTATTTTACTATGCAGTTAAGATATTAAGAACCACAATTTCAGTTTCTTTCCTTTGATAAAACTATGGTGACAGAAAAGCAATTCTACAACAGAAGGCTAATACAATATTGATGCCTGCATACGGTGACTTCCGATCACCTACACGCAAGACTGCATCCATGCAGACTTTTCTATGCTATTTTCTCAACTTACAGACAAACCAGGAGAAGTTCCAATCATTTCTTTTCTCAAAATAGATAACATGAGAGCTGCGTACAAATTATTCATAGAGATATTAATTTCCTGAATTAATAAATAAATCATCTATAGGCATTAATACATGACTTCCTGCAAGATTCCAAAAATGTCTCCTTGCACCGAAATTCACACTGGAAATAAACTAACAAGTGGGCTAGAAGTTTCGATCCTTTTTACAATGAGGGAAGGAATAAGTCAAATTTAATGTGTCTGTATTAGGTTTCAAAATTCTCTACCTTCAACAAAATATCACATCTTAATCTGACTATCGAAGTCATTCCCTTAAAATACATAAATGTGGTTCATAGAATATTTATGTCATATGGGTCACTATAAAATACACAGTGCAGGCAAGAGTAATCACAATTGTATTGTTTTATGTATAGCATTTGTTTGCTGATCATAAAAGCTATCTCCCCAAAGAGAACAAATACACTGGTGATTTTCTTTAAACAAAAATAGAGCTCATCTCTGACACATACAGTATTAAATCCTAGAGGGTGTGTGTGTGTGTGTGTGTGTGTAAGTTAATTATTTCAACAAATACATTGGTGTATTTCTTTTCCTGTTCTTTAAACAAAAATAGAGCTCATCTCTGATACATATACAGTATTAAATCCTAGAGTTGTTTTGTGTGTGTGTGTGTGTTTCAGTTAATTATTTCTACATAGCTATCTAACCACCATGCAGTCAGGGGAGATGCAGTTCACAGCTAAAACCACCCGAGGGCACTCCTAAAACTGTGAAACAACTTTTAGAACCAAACGTTTAATGACCAGGATGCAGGAGACCTGGTCCTACTTGAGGTTCAAGGCCTCAGGCGTGGCTTAAAAAACATGCTTCGGAATCCACGTGTGTCTTTTTAAAACCTGAGATGAAAATTAACGTGAATCCTGTTGATCTCCTGCACATTCTCTGGGCCTCCTGTCCTTGCAAGGAAAGTTGAGGTTCTACAGCAGGAGGAACAGAACTAGGGGGCTTCCAATGAAAGCATTTAAAAATGACTAATGAACCAATCTCATAGGACTCTCCTTCCAGAACCCATATTCACATCAGCCAATAAAAAGCTCACATTGCTGCCAAGAATAACAGAAATTCAAGAATAACTTCCCATACACAGATGATTGAAAAGCTGGTCAGAAAAGGTCTGTTTTAAGTGACAAGACGGCACTTCAGTTCAGGAAAACCAGCCAACCGCAGGCTCCTTACCTGTTTCCTGTGAATTCAACACTTCTAAGGCATGCATCATGGCACTTGCAAAGACATTGGCATCCTCTTTGCTGCCAAAGTTGAGACCGTACACCTGTCTAGCATCTCGCCATTGGTGGAAGGTCTGTGTAGCTTGATTGTACTTCAACCCTTTAGGAATGGCACAATTGATCACCACCTAAAAGACAGTAATTCTTTTTATAAAGTCAAGCAAATAAATGGCAAAATCGACAAAGTCAACAAATCCTGATTGAAAAGGTATTCATTCATTCATCCTTAGCCCTCCCGCCACTGCGCTCGCCAGCCATGAGCCAGGCTTGTGGCTGAGCGGCGCTCCCCCTGTGGGAGCACACTGACCACCAGGGGGCAGCTCCTGCGTTGAGTGTCTGCCCCCTGGTGGTCAGGGCGCATCATAGCAACCAGTGGTTCTGCCATTCGGTCGATTTGCATATTAGCCTTTTATTATATAGGCTTTTCATTCTCCATATATTTTAAACCCCATAAAGCACTATTTTCAGTTTTATAGAGTCAATGATCGATTAAGATCAACACTTAGGCTTTTCAGTCCTGTGCCCTCTTCAAGCTTCTGTTGGGACCATTTTTGATCTTGAAGAATGTCTTCCCAGTGAGATCTGGCGAGGAAGCCTCTCCATTTTGGTCTGCCAGAAAATATCTTTATTTCACATTCATTTTTTTGAAGAATATCTGTATTAGGTACGGAATGTTACGTGGTCACTCACTTCCCTACAGTCATTTGAAGTTCACGGCCACCCAGCTCTTGATTCTATTGAGAAGTCAGCTGACAGCTTATTGTTGCTACTTTAACGGTATCTGATTTTCAAGGACTGCTCAAGAGTTTCACCTTGTATTTAGTTTACAATGATTTTAACACAATGGGTTTCTATAGGGTTTTCCTGGTAGTGATGTCATCCCTGTTGAAAATTCTTGTTTACTCTCTCTTCAGTTATTGTTCTGCCCCAGTCTCCCCTCTCCTCTGGGACTGTGATTACACATACTCTGCTCACTTTTCTCACTGTATTCCCTTATGTCTCCCCTAAGCGCTTTGTGTATTACCTATTTCTCTCTGATTATCTTAGCTCCAGTCTGAGTTGTTTTTTCTTACCTCTATTTCAGTTTACTAATTCTTTTTAGCTATTTCTAATTGGTTGTAAAAACAAAACAAAACCGTCTCTGAGTTGTTAACAGCAGTTATTTTCTGTTTCGATTCTTTTTTAAGAAAATCTTTATTGTTGAAAGTATTACATGTCCCCTTCGTTCCCCTTGGATCCCTTCTAACCCGCCCCTGCACTCCTCCCCGCCCCCTCGTCGTCCCCCCGCCCCCATCCCAGGCCTTAAATTTCCATTTTGTTCTTTTTTCAAGTATCCAGTTCTCTGCTGAAATTCTCAACCTGTCTTATATTTCCTTGAATGTATTAAGCATAGTTATTTTAAAGTCACTTCCTGATAGTTCCATTAGCTGGATTCCCAGGGGTCTGTCCTACTGCTGTTTCTTTCCCGTCTCCTCGTATGCCTGGGTATTCTGATTAAGTGCCAGACCCTGCATATGGACAATTTTAAGGAAATGTTGATGCCTACGACGATGTTATATATCCCCCCACCCCCAGGAAAAATGTACATTGGCTTCTGGCAAACAGCTAGGGAAACTAACAGTCTTACGTCACCTTAATCCAAAAGTAGCTGAAATGATTGAGGCTGAGCTATGAGGGTCAGTCTACTTCTGAGTCAAACTTCTTCTTCCCAACATATGGGAGGGACTTCTGGGTCCCAAACCATGGCCTGTGAGACTACCCACACACCCTCCCTCATTCGCAGGGCCTGACTTCCATGTTTGCTCTACCAGCCCCATGTAACAAAGGTACCCTGGAATGAGAGAAAACCAATTTTTATTAGATATAGGCATAGGTACACATCATTATGTTACTTTAAATATTTTTATAAAATTTTCTTTTCTTTTATAGACTGATCTTGCATCTTAATAATAGAGGCAACCTTGCTGAACAGTCGTATTAGTTGTAATATTTTATCTCTGTAGATACTGGGATTTTTTATGTAGAGAATGATATCATCAGTGAATAAAATCAGCTCTACTACTTCCTTTACACTATTCCTAGCTTAAATTTCTTCATCTTTATAGCACCAGGTTACCTCCTCTGCGATGCTAAATGAATGAAACGATGAAAGTTGAAGTCCTCAACTTATTCCTGAGTTTAGTGGAAATCCTAAAACTGTACTGTCCCGTGAGATGTTTGCCATATGTTTACGTTAGTCACCCTCATCAGCTTAAGAAAATTCATTTTTATGCCAAACGTGCTGAGAAATATTACCTTTGGGTTTTAACTTTATCACAGGCTTTTCCTGAATCTCGTTTCTATTAGGTGTTCTCCCGGTATGTTACATTATTAGTTATCGAATGTTAAACTAGCCTTACATTACTGCTGAATTTGGGATGCTAATACCTTCCTGAGGACTTTTTATATAACATTTTAGGTAAATTATTCACTATTGATATATTTTATGATGGCAGATCTATTAAATTTTTCTACTTTTCTGCCAGTTTTGGTCAGTAATACTTTCCTACAAAATGGCCCACTTACCGGCATAAAGCTGTTTAAAATATCTTACAGTAACTTATTTTCGTAGTATACCGATAGCTACATCTCTTTTCCAATCCTAATATAACTTTTTTTTTCCCTGCTTGATTCTGCCAATTTTTCTATTCAGTAGGGCAGCTTTTGTGTTAACAAGTTCTATTTATTTTTAGTATTTCCTTCTGCTCCCTTCTTAAGCTCATTATATGTCATTAAGAGTAGCCCATCTAAAGACAGCTTAGATGTCCCACAGGTTTCTATATATAATCTCTTGTCACTCTGGTCTAAGCACTTTCTTTCTAAACATTTTCTCATCTTCATAATGCTTCCATATCAGTGTCATGAATTATTTAGAAGTGTATTTAAATTTCCAAACATTTTTAAAAACACTCTATTTGTCAAAAACTATAAAGTCACCGGATAGCTTACTTCTCTTTTGGATAAAAAAAAATCTCCATGCTTTCATTTGGAAATTGCTTGACTTGTGCAGACGTCTTTAGAATTATTTTTAAACTAGAAGCCCAGCGCGCGAAATCACGCAGCCCCGCCCACCCATGCCGGTCTTTGGGCGTTACGGCGTTACGGCCACAGGCCTTTTATAATAGAGATATGCATTTCCTCTGTGGGCCGACATTGAGATACTGTTAGGGCTGTTCTTCAGGACGACCTATGCTTTCCCCATCGGGACTATTTGGACTACGGTTTCAATCCCCTGCTTTATTTTCGCAAAACAGCAAGTCCTTCCGTAACACAGGACGGCTTGAAGAACTGAATCCGACCAGTACCTGATGGTCCTGAATCTTCCTGCCCACCACTCGGA